AGCTTTACCCTTTGCCACTTGTAGACATATGTTCTAAACTGGACAAACTGGAGTTATACTGAAATGTGCATGTCTTACGATCAAAAATACTTGTAAGATTATCTTGTAAAATAAGTTGCAGAGCTTTCTGAAATTTTGGATCAAGCTTCATGAGCACATGTTATAATGCATGATGCATTTTCAGGTTCATTGCTTATATATTCTTTTTCATAATCGCCATGTATGAAATTTTTGTTGCATATTTCTAAGGAACTAAAAATCAAGGCTTTCTGAAATTTGAAATCAAGCTTTGGGTGAGCATGTACGACTGTGTAAAGCATTTTCACATCCATCATTCATCGACTTGGTATTAATCTTTGTTTGTTCAGATTGATATAGTATTTATAGAATAACATGATTTGATTTTCTCTTATCAGAACTAATCTTCTCACTTCAATGTCTTATCCTTCAATGTTTCATGTTCTCTGCCTGATTCAAGATATTGAAAACAATCTTGTCTAAATATAAAAATAAAATGTGGTATGATTGCAAATGAGACAACTCTCCACAAGAGACCAAAGGACATAGAAATCAACAACAATAGGTCACCGTACGGCCTTCAATAATGAGAATAACCCATACCGCATAGTCAGTTATAAAAGGCCCAGAAATGATAAATGTAAAATAATTCAAACAAGAAAACCAACGGCCTGATTTATGTACAATTTTATGAACGAAAAACAAATATGATATACAGCAACAAACGACAACCACTGAATTACAGGCTCCTGACTTGGGACAGGCACATACATAATGTGGAATGTCTAAATGTATATTTATGATTGTATGTTGATATTTTTCAGTCCCACTAAAACAGATGCTGGTATATCAACAAGACTAAGTGAGATATACCAACAACTAGAGGCCATGGAGGCAGACAAAGCACCTGCTAAAGCTGCCGTTATCCTAGCTGGTCTGGGATTCACACCAAAGATGCAGGGACAAACTACAAAGTTAGTATTAAGGCCTTCAAAAATATATAGTTCTTTTTCATGCTTCCTTACCTACCCTAAAAATTCATGCCCATCCTATTAAACCTATTTTAAAGCCTTATGTTGAAAAGCACTGTAAAAAATGGATGGTTAAAGTCCCTATATAGTCTGATGTAAAAAAAATAAAAAATTTAGGGTTATCTATGAAAATATTGTTCGTATGTCGTAGTATAAAACTGTTTGACTTATCTTCACTGCACACAAGGTTATTAGTCAGTCGAAGGGGACTTTAGGTTTGCACTCCGTCTGTCTGTCTGTCTGTCTGTCTGTGTTTGTCCATCTGTGAGTCCGGCAAATCAGTTTTCCACACTTTTTTCCTCGTGCTTGAAGATATTGAATTGATATTTGGTATATTGTTTTATCATGACAAGTTACAGATCAAGTTTGAATTTTGTTCCGGTCTGATGATTTTGTGCAGAGTTATGGTCCGTGGACTTAGAAAATTCACTCAAATAATCAGTTTTCAACACTTTTTTTTCGTCATGCTTGAAGATATTGATTTGATAATTAGTATATAGTTTTATCAAGACAAGTTACAGATCAAGATTGAATTGTGTTCCAGTCTGATGATTGTGTGCAGAGTTATGGTCCTTGGACTTAGAATATTCACTTAAATAATCAGTTTTCCACACTTTTTTTCGTCATGCTTGAAGACATTGGCTTGATATTTTTATGTAGTTAACACCTTGACAAGTTATAGATCAAGTTAGCATTTTGTTCCAGTACAATGAATGTTTAACCAATAGGGGACTATGTATTGCCATGCAATACTCACAGAATGCTTGTTCATATATAAATTTATGCTTCATAGAACATTTCAATATGCGGTTTACCTATTCCCACAAAATTCCACTAAAATTAGTATTTCCTCAGATAATCAGAAATCTACAGCAAATTAAAGATGACAATACTTTATTTTCAGGGAATTTTCTGGTGGTTGGAGAATGAGACTAGCTCTGGCAAGAGCTCTGTTTACAAAGTAAGTATTATCTACCACACCAGTCTTAATAACAACAAATCCAATGGTCCAGGCCAGTAAAATTTTCCAGGAAACAGGCTGCAAAAACCATATAGATGTAAAGAAATTTAATGAAAGCCTCGATTTTTGGGCTTGTTAGTCATTAAATTATTTCATGAAGACTGTGACACGCTAATATAGAATTTTTCATCATATATTACTTTGTAAGAATAAGGAGATAAATAAGAACTATGGACCAGACACCTAAAATACGGATGTAAGCAACTATAGGTCACTGTACAGTTTTCAACAATGAGCAAAATCCATACTGCATAATAAACTGTATTACAGGCATTTTATTTACCCACAATGCAATAGTTTTATCACCATTTGGTCAAAAGGCAATCTTTAAGCTCTCACACAAATATCATAGCTACTGTGGATTCATTATTATTTATTGGATACCAATTTTTAGTGGATTTCGTGGTTACCCGGGAACCACAAATTCCAATGTTCAACGAATTGCATATTTTCCATAGGAATATAAGCAGACTTTGGCAAAACCAAGATTTCAAATATCCAAGAAAATACAAGTTTTCCTCAATCCACGAAAATTGGTACCCACGAAAATAAATAAAACCACAGTACTCTTTAAGATAATGTTGGTTCACTATCCTATTGATTTAGGAATGATTGTAATATTTTTTCTGTCTATGAAGAAATAACATAAAAAAATATGGTGCACTCTGAATAACACGTGTAGCAGGTTATTTAAAATTAAAGTGTGCACCACATTTTTATACGACTGCAAAATTTTGAGGTTGTATATTGGTGTGACATTGGTGTCGTCGTCGTTGCCTGGCGTCATAGTCGTCGTCTGAAGACACATTGGTTTTCGCACACTTACTTTAGTTTAAGTGAAAGGATCTCTATGAAATTTTACCATAAGGTTCAATACCACAAAAGGAAGGTTGGGATTGATTTTGGGGGTTATGGTACCAACAGTTAAGGAATTAGGGGCCAAAAAGGGGCCAAAAGTAAGCATTTTTGTAACTTTCAGACATAACTTGTGTGTTAGTGTATGGATCTCTCTGACATTGTACCACAAGGTTCCATATCACAAAGTGAATGTTGGGATTGATTTTGGGGGTAATTGCCTTAAATTTTTTGGAATTAGGGGCAAAAAAAGGGGCAAAAAACAAGCATTTTTCTAGTTTCATGACAATAACTTGTGTGTAAGTGTATGGATCTTTCTGAAATTGTACTACAAGGTTCCATATCACAAAGGAAAAGCTGGAATTGAGTTTGGAAGTAATTGCCCAAAACGTTTAGGAATAAGGGGCCAAAAATAAGTATTTTTCTAGTTTCCGAACAATAACTTGTGTTCAAGTGTATGGATCTCTCTGAAATTGTACTACAAGATACCATACCACAAAGGAAAGGCTGGGATTGAATTAGGGGGTAATTGCCTCAAAATTTTAGGAATTAGGGGCCAAAAAGAGCCAAAAAACAAGCATTTTTCTAGTTTCCAGACAATAACTTGTGTTCAAGTGTATGGATCTCTCTGAAATTGTACTGCAAGGTACCATACCACAAAGTGAAGGCTGGGATTGAGTTTGGGGTGATGAATCATAAGGGGGTTCAAAAAATTGGGGGGGGGGGATTTTTTTTCCTTTTTTTCCTTTTTTTTTCTTTAAAATTTTCCATTTTAAATTGGTTATTTCTGATTTATATATATAAAAGCAAATGATAATGATATGGTTTGAATAGGTAAATTAAAAAATTTTAAGTTGTGTCCATACTTGCCCCAACTGTTCAGGGTTCGACCTCTGCGGTCGTATCAAGCTGCGCCCAGCGGAGCATTGTATTGATGTTATTTGGAATAGACAGAAAAAATATTACAGTCATTCCTTATAATTTAATTCTAGAGTTCATGTATTATGGAGTAAATCATGAAAAAACGTTAATGACGTCACAGTCACATGACAAAATTATGTCTATGAGCTCATAGACAAAATCCTTTCAGTCAATCAAATGAAGTGTTATACATCCAAAATTAAATTATTTGAAGATGGAAAGATGATGAGGGGAAATCAAAAGGAAAGTAATAAACAAAACAGATGAATGGATAACAAAACACTACACAGAAAGCCAAAGATTAAGCAGCACAAATCCTACAAAGTTATTTTCTTACCAACCACAATATTTTTGTCATATTTTTATGATAAAAGATCAGGACATTTGAGCTAGGAAAGCTATATATATGAAATTAAATGTATTGAATTAGTTATTTTTGCAAAATAATTTATTGAATTTTCATAATTTTCAGACCAGATCTGTTGTTACTTGATGGTAAGTAAATTAAAGCAATTATTCTTACTGCGATAGTCATGATAGTGGAAACCAACCACTACTTAAACTTATACCTGTTGTTACTTAATGTCCATTGCCTTATACTTCAACACAGCGAGAAAATCCTGCACCTGGCCCCTAATGTTTTAACCTGCAAATAAGGGCTGTTCCATTAAAACATGCATGGTACCCAGGGAAGGTACTTTAAAAATGGGGTAACCACCTATAGAGGCAAATTAAAATTTCACTTACATTTCCACTATGCAAAAACATAGATGACCCCCACCAATAGTTGAGATTTGGAAGTGCCTTCCCTGGGTCCCATGTATGTTTTTATGAAACATCCTCAAGAAACACATGCAAGAAACAACTATATAATTGACCATGTTGAACAACACCTCTCATGTAGTAATTTTATTTTGGTACTTGAATGAAAAGTATAATAGAATAGAAGGACTTTTAAAAGTTTAACCAATTTATTTATATTTCCATGATAGTGTTACTGTGTTTAAGTAAATTGCTACAAAACAGTGTTAAGTAATCAAGGTGAATTTTTTTTCAAAAAATATTTGTATTTGAAAAAGTAATTTTGAGATTATTTTTTTTTGGGAATTATTTGGTGTGATTTAAAAGACTAATTGTAGTCACCAGGTAGATAAATCAGACTAAGACCCTGGAGCGTTGCAAGTCCTCAGAATCCATTGGGTTATAAATCATTCAATTCATGTCCCAGTGTCATCATTTGGTCTGAAGGCTCTAAGGCCCTCAGGTAAGAATTAACTCTACCTGATGACAAACTTATAAAATTTTAGTGAAGGTTACAAATGAAAATTATGGGTCACAAGAAATTGGTTTCATTAAAGATTTATTTTTCATTTAAATGAATCTCTCAATTGTATCTATTGATTTGGTTAAGTTTGATTAATTTTGAAGTATACTCTGCTGAATTTTATTACTGCATTTGTAGATTGAATCATAGTAAGGGCTGTTCCAGAAAATACTATGTCCCCCTCAGGGATGGCACTTTTTTTTAACCCCCACCACCCACAGAAAATAAATTAGAACAACACTCCCTTTGCATTTTGGTATTTCAAATACAACCACCCACATAAAATTTTTAAAAAATTGCCTTCCCTGGGGGGGACATAGTATTTTCTGGAACAGCCCTAAAATGACTTGAAGCACTTTTGTTAAAAAATAATTATTACAGGGGAGATAATTTAAGTTTGATAACTTTTTTTTCAAGTTTAGTTGGGTTGATTGAATTATTTTCTGTCTGGATGTAAAGATGAAATCTCTTTGCATTTTCTCTAATCTCCCTGATTTCAAGAATATAAGTAATAGGCAGTGAGTTTTTTTTATTGGGGATCCCCTTTTTTTCTGATTTTATTTTTTATAAATATCCAAGTTAAATATTAAATAATATTTAAAAGACAAAACAAAACAAGCTTTAGTAACTATGTCACCTTAAATTTCCAAAATATTTTATAGGAACACTAAAATATTAAAAAAGATGATTCTTTGAAACACCTAAGATAAATGTTTATGACTCAGAAAATTTGTTTGCAATGAAATTCAGGTTTAATTTCCTACAACCGTCAAATTTACAGGAATATCTTTTTTTCTGACCATATTTCGTATGGAACAGGATGTGAAGTAATATGTTTTAGTGGTATTATACCTAAATGGAGATTTCAATACACCTTATCGCTATCTGTCCGCCATTACTGGACATCACAAATTTCCCGTAAAATTTTGACGTCACAATAGAAAATATCTGACGCCACAATGGAATAGTGATTGTTGTATGATGTCGATAGTTCAAGATTCTCTGGTCAGGCAGCGCATATTTCCAAATAGCGATAAGGTCTATATATTTACTGTTTTCTTTCAGAACCCACAAACATGTTGGATATGAAAGCTATAATCTGGTTGGAAAACTATTTACAGGTATTATATATAGATAAGATAGATGGCAATTTTGAATTTTTGGTGAAATATAAATTTAAGAAAAAAGAAATACATAATGGATCTGCAAATGCATTAACTGCAAGTTAATATGAAATATTTTTAAAATCTGTTTAACTTTCTTCATTTTGAAACTTTGTGGTAGATTTTCCATTTGTAAGAGATCGGCTATGTCATAATTACATCTGTTTCGCTGAGACATGAACTGCCAACTTAAATGATTTATGGGGGATTCCCCCCATGAAAGGCATTGACATGAATTTCAAAATTATTTATTTAGTAAACTGAACACTTCAAAACAGGCATTCAAATGAGTTACAAGGGTATTTAAGCACATATATACTCATTCAAACAATATAGTAGTTGATTAAAAACACTTATGACAATATAAGAGGAGCATTAGGTCCTCTTGCGCTTAAAATCCCTCATGAAGATTTTGACATGTCGGCAGGTATGAGTCTTATCTTAACCATTTTAGCAATTTGATTTCTATTCTTCATTCTGTTAGATCTATGCTATTACATTGTACATCATTTTTAGCATGTTTAGGTAGCCACAACAACAGCAGTGTAATAAGATTATAACAAAGTATAAACATTATGCACTTTTTTAAGCACTTTTTCTGTTCTTTATGTCAAGTGCTGATGGATTATTCACAGTCGCCCATAAACAAGAAAGGAATTTTAGAGTTTAGAATTTGCATTGAAAGTAAATTGTATCAATACAGGTTATTTCTCCATATGTTATACACTCACCACTCCTATGTTGTATTTTCAATAGAAATAAGAAGATGTGGTATGAGTGCCAATGAGACAACTCTCCATCCAAGTCACAATGTGTAAAAAGTTAACAATTATAAGTCAAAGTAAGGCCTTCAACATGGAGCCTTGGCTCACACTGAATAGAAGGTCCCCAAAATGACTAGTGTAAATCAATTCAAACAGAAAAACCACCGGTCTAATCTATAAACAAAAAACAAACAAAAAACGAGAAACACTGATGAACCATGTCTATTTGTCCAACAAATTTTTTTGTCACTAATAAACAGAATGACTTCATGCTTAGTCAGCAGCTTCACAGTGATGAGTTATAAAGTGTGTGCACTTTTCAGATCTGTGACACACCTTACTAATAGCTGTTACTTTGAATTTTTCAATATGTTGAATGGATGTGAATTTCCCCCACACTTTTCTGTATTGCTTCTGAACATAATGACTTCATATTTGGTCAGTAGCTGGACAGTAATGACAAGTTATATGTGAGCAGTTTTCATGTATGTCAGATATCTACTTCCAGTTTCCTGATACTTTGAATTATGTGTGTGTGCATGCTTAGCACAATAACATTTACATTACTGTAAACTCAGAAATTATTGCGATGTTTTTATTATTGCGAAAAATGCGACAGAGTTATAAATGCAATAATTTAAACTCACATTTTGAAATTTTGTATATGAATTAAACAGGATTTTTCTCAAAATCGCAAAAATTAAAATCGTATGACAAAATCGCAATAATAAATGCACGCAATAATTTCTGAATTTACAGTATTGTTTTTTACATATTACACAAATTACACAAGGTTAAGAGCTACCATTGTTCACTATCACTTGAATTTGTGGTCTGTTACGGCTTTGGTACAATTGTATATTTTCTTTTTTCAGAAATGGCAAACGACTATGTTAGTCGTATCTCACGACAGAATGTTCCTTAACGCAATATCTACAGACATTTTATATTTAAACAACCAGTTGATAGAAACATACAGAGGCAATTACGACATCTTTCATAAAACACGAGAGCAGAGACTTATTAACCAACAGAAAGAATACGAGGCACAAGTGCAATACAGAGAACATCTACAAGTAAGAAAGAGAGTATAGAAATAAGGCAGTGTTTTCCCCAGGCCCTTAAAGCACCACAGACCACAGACTTGATCACTTTGATATAAAAGATAAGGAGAGGCCACAAGTCTAAATGCCACATGTCAAGACAGTCTATAAGATGAATTTGTTACAAAGTGACCCATATATATTGTATTAGGTCACTTCCAGCTTTGCTCTCACCCCATATCACTAATCAGGGATTAATCTAGTGGTAGCCAAGAAAAAATGCTTGATGGCCCAGCAATCTCCTATCTGATGATGGACTTTCAGTTTCCGTTCTCTTACCTTTAGTTTGCCTCAACCAAATTTATGAAACTTATACACAATGCTTATTACCACCAAATACAGATTTTCACTTTCACTGTTCTCAAGTTATGCCCCTTTGTTAATTAAAAATTGCAGAATTTGCTGTATATTTACTAGTGCATGGACACATTCTCCATTTTTTTTTCATTATAGGTGTTCATCGATAGATTTAGATATAATGCCAACAGAGCTTCATCTGTACAGAGTAAACTGAAAATATTAGAAAAATTGTAAGTATTTATTTAAATCACTCGGGGCTAATACCACTTCAGAATCATCAGGAGAAGTGATGAGACTTTGAAACTGGCAAGGAGAAGTGGTTAAACTAAAAACAAAAGAGCCTTTTAGACGGACGACGACGGACGCCAAATGATGAGAAAAGCTCACTTGGCCCAGGGCCAGGTGAGCTAAAAATAAGAAGATGTGATATGATTGCCAGCTGTGAGACAACTCTCCACAAGAGACCAAATGACACAGAAATTAACAACTATAGGTCACCTTACGGCTGTCAACAATAAGCAAAACCCATGCCGCATAGTCAGCTTCAAAATGCCCTGGTATGACAAATGTAAAACAAATGAAAAGACTAACATCCTAATTTATGTACAAAATAATAAACAAAAAACAAATATGATACACATACAACAACCACTGAATTACAGGCTCCTGACTTGGGACAGGCACATCCCTGCCTGTTCACAATTTCCCTTTTGTTCAACACTATTAATCCATGTATATATCGTTAATATTTTCTACACTGAGATTGCAATTTAAATGTTTTAGAAATTGCTTATCAAAAATAATGGATTTTTATCAATCTAAAACATGATTCTCATTTTGTTTTTTACAGGCCACCATTAATAGCTGTTGAAAAAGTATCTACTGTCACTTTTAGGTAAGTATTGATCACATGACATTATTCTCCTTTCGTAGAAGGACTGATTTTGGTTTACAATGGGTATCACTATAATGATTAAAAGCTTCAATAATATGGCAGAAAATTCCTAATATGAGTTTTCAGTTTTTGCTCGATTTTTTCCCAAAATAAAAAAGAGGCATGTGACTTCATGCAAATTTTTACTTTGATAAGACCAACAGGAGCATACAATTTCCCACAAAATTGTATCTGATTACAACAACAGGAACAAACGATATCCTGTAAATTAGTATCTGATCACAACAACAGGAACATACAATATCCTCTAAATTAGTATCTGATCACAACAACAGGAACATACGATATCCTGTAAATTAGTATCTGATCACAACAACAGGAACATACGATATCCTGTAAAATAGTATCTGATCACAACAACAGGAACATACGATATCCTGTAAATAAGTATCTGTTCACAACAACAGGAACATACGATATCCTGTAAATTAGTATCTGATCACAACAACAGGAACATACAATATCCTGTAAATTAGTATCTGATCACAACAGCAGGAACACACAATATCCTGTAAATTAGTATCTGATCACAACAACAGGAACACACAATATCCTGTAAATTAGTATCTGATTACAACAACAGGAACACATGGAACATACGATATCCTGTAAATTAGTATCTGATCACAACAACAGGAACATACAATATCCTGTAAATTAGTATCTGATCACAACAACA